TAATTGATAAATAATTTATACTTAATTAAATTGTTTAATTGATTAAAAATTTATAATTACATTGATTAATTGATTGATTAGTAAATCATATTTACGCAATAATTTAATTGATAATTAAACTTTAATTGATAATTAAACTATGATTAATTTATTTAATTACTTGATTATAAAATTATGATTATACTATTTAATTAATTTGTAAACTATAAAGATTTAATTACTATATGCTAAATGGACAGTCAAGATTACCTTTAGAGCAAAAATAGACAATCAAGATTACTTTGAGAGCAAAATGGATAGTCAACCATACTTTGATAGCCAAATGGATAGTCAACCAAACTTTGATAGCCAATATGATAGTATGATTTCTTTTTCCTTTTTCCTTTTCCCTCCCATAGTTTTTTAGTTCATGTTAGTACATACCATTTACTATCATATTACTTAATTTTATGTTAATTTACATAAGAATTGTTGAAGATTTACATAAGAATTGTTGAAGATCCTCTTGAATCATTATGGGATTGTCCATCTCGGAGTCCTCTAAGGAAGAAGTTGACAAAAGCAAGGAATCATATAACAATGCCCGAAGACATTCCATTGCCTAAAAATGAAGACAACTTTGTCTGTCATATATGTGATATTCTTGAACATTTAGCTACCATATGCCTGCACCGATATGCAGTAACTTGTTGTTATACCCTAAATTAAGTCTCATGAGAATCAGGACACGTGGAGACATTCTAGAGATAGTTTTATCAAAGTTGGCTAGGATAAATCCCGCTAGAATAAGAATACCCCAAACACCAATTAAATAAAATTGTATTCATAGAATAACTGTATTTAAGCATCTTATAAATACCTCTAGGATCAACCTAAGAAGGTAGATTATTTATCATCATCATTCTCTCTTCATTGTAAACTCTCTCTATCAACAAAGATCTTGGTTCCACACCATCTATTCTATTTTTTACTGTTAACATTTGGTGCCCATTGTGGGGCTCGACACTTTTCAATCCACAAATACCACATGGAAAATTCAGAAAACTCATCAAGACCTCGTAAAAGTATTTCGAGCTCCAAAAATGAGGACAGAATGAGTGACTCTTCGTCATGAAAGAACAAACCCAAGAAATACTATTAATAAAACAAAACCATTAGATTCAACCATGGCATCACAAATACAAAAGCTTACATAAGACATAGAGGAGACGAGGCAACGTTTAAAAGCAATCAAGTGAGCCATAGCATCCATGACAAAAACTGCTAACACCTCATTGCAAGAAGGCGTGAACGGTTGTCATAAAGCGATGTCAGGACATTAGAATGGAAGGGAAGAAGCAAGATTCAACACAGTAAAACAGCAATCAAGATGAAAGTTACGTACCTTCAAAACCAACAGAATTGACGATCGAAACGAGTCTGCAACCATCCTCAGCTTTCACTCAATACAATTTTCAAAGCAAAAATGTGAGAGCTTGCACACATTCAAGCCAAAGAAAGGACAACTAGCAAGTCCATAAGGCCACATTTGCCACAACAAAACCACAAAAGGCAGAAACACAGGTTCATGATGACGGTATTGAAGCATTATGACAACATCTGGCAAAAATAGAAACAAGCAAGCAAAGGTACATAGAACCAGCACACACAGCTTCAGTAGAAAAAGTCTTTATAGACAAAATCATCAAGGAACCTGTACCATCAAATTTCAAAACTCTGCAGCTAGTTGAATACAATGGAACTCAAGACCTAGTGGAGCACGTGCAAGGATATAGAATGGCAATGATGGTATATGAAGCCTCGAATGCTCTATGCAAGCAATTTCCAATAACTTTTAGGAAAGCTACGTAGGCTTGAGCTCCTCGAAAGTCCAACCATCATCTCCTAACAATCAAACAGAAGACAAGAGAGTCACTAAGAGCCTACATAGCAAGATTCCATAATGAAGCTGTGTAAGAACAAATTAACAACGTACCAGATAAGTTTTATATCTTTTTACAATATTTAAATAATTATTTTCATAAATTTATCAATTATGCTCTTGAAAGCACTAACAATTTTCTCATGTCTTTTAAAGTAATTAAGATAGCAAAACCTATATAGTTTGTTTCTACTCTAAACCTGAGTATGAGAAAATCTTAAGATGATATAATACACAAGCAAAAGCTATGAGCAAGTTTGGGTGTACATAAAATACCCAAGCAAAAGTTACACAAGCAAACAAAAAGCTGTGAGCAAGTTTGGGTGTACATTAAATACCCAAGCACAAGTTACATAAGCAAAAGCTGTGAGTAAGTTTGGGTGTACATAAAATGCCCAAGCAAAAGTTACACAAGCAAGTAGAAGCTGTGAGCAAGTTTGGGTGTACATAAAATACCCAAGCAAAAGTTACACAGGCAAGCAGAAGCTGTGAGCAAGTTTGGGTGTACATAAAATACCCAAGCAAAAGTTACACAGGCAAGCAGAAGCTGTGAGCAAGTTTGGGTGTACATAAATACCCAAGCAAAAGTTACGCAAGAAAAAGCTCTGAGCAAGTTTGGGTGTATATAAATACCCAAGCAAAAGTTATGCAAGCAAAAACTGTGAGCAAGTTTGGGTGTACAAAAATACCCAAGTATAAGTTACACAAGCAAAAGCTATGAGTAAGTTTGGGTGTGCATTAAATACCCAAGCAAAAGTTACACAAACAAAAAGCTGTGAGCAAGTTTGGGTGTATATAAAATACCCAAGCAGAAGTTACACAGACAAGCAAAAACTGTGAGCAAGTTTGGGTGTACATAAATACCCAAGCAGAAGTTACACAAGCAAAAGTTGTGAGCAAGTTTGGGTGTATATTAAATACCCAAGCAGAAGTTACACAAGCAAAAGTTGTGAGCAAGTTTGGGTGTATATTAAATACCCAAGCAGAAGTTACACAAGCAAAAAGCTTTGAGTAAGTTTGGGTGTAAATTAAATACCCAAGAAAAAGTTACGCAAGCAAAAGCTGCGAGAAAGCTGTGAGAAAGCTGCAAGAAAGTTGCAAGAAAGCTGCGAGAAAGCTGCAAGAAAGCTGTGAGCAAGTTTGGGCGTACATAAATACCTAGGTAAAAGCTACGCAAGCAAGGCTACAAAAGGTTCAACAAGAAGTCCGAAAAGCTAAAGGACACCTTGAGAACCTCTGCATCAACAAAATTACTCCTACCATGAATAGTTGTAGCAGAATCCTTTGCATCCTAAAAGCTGCTCAATCTTTCCTTTACTTCAACCAAAAATCTACCTAGTGAACATATGATGGACCTTAATCATAAACTTTCTCCAACTTTGGATCAGCTTAAGCCTCCACAGCAACATCTTGATGAGCTTGATAGCAAGATTGAAGTAACCCAAGCTACTAGAAAGAGCAAAGGCTTTACCCTCAAAAGACTCCTTAGAAGACTAAATAACAGAGGAAGACGAAGCTTGAAGAGAGGAAACCTGCGCCCTTAGATCCGAAACGAACCTCTCCAAAGCAGAATTCATAGAGGTTTAGCAAATCCTTACTTCTCTTCCGCATCCTAAACAAATCAACAATAGCACGAGGAGCATATTGGGGTAGAATAATGGAAAATCCATCACAGGTTTTAAGGATAAAAGGATGCAAAAGAAAACGCAACCCACATGCAAATTGATCCTTATAGACACACATATCAGAAGGAAGGCATTAAAACGCCACACAACGCACAGGATGTTGAGGAGGAAAAACCTGCGGACCTATGGAGTTCTTTTTATAAATCTCCCTAATCTCATCCACATCACAACTACTAGTAACCCAATACACCTTATCAAGATCGCAGAACACCTTTGTTGAGCCTAGAAGGACAACAACTTTTCCACCCTTTGAAGAAGAAACCAAAGGAACCTCTGTAGGAATAGAAGGAATCATGGGATCCTTCTCCACATGGCGAGAAGCACCTTTCACAACAAACTTCCCATCTGCATTACGGGGAAGGCAAAAAATATCAAAAATATTTCAACTTGGAAGAAAGAATGCTCATCATGACAAAAACAGAACTTGCTAGAGCTCTGACGGTAGTAGAAGTTGCCAAAAAGCCCATACTATAGCGGAAGGAGCCCTAGCAAAGATCTACCTCCATCTTAGTGATATCCCAAGAAATCGAAGCAATAATGGCAGAATCAAAAGGATCCCCCTCCATCAAACAGGAAAATGGCAAAGAAGAAACAAGAAATCGAAAAAGAAAAAAGAAAGAGCAAAAAGAAAAAATAAAGAAAGCAAACAAAAAGGAAATCGAAATGAAAAAGGAAGTCAAACCAAAAAGAAAAAGAAGAATCAAGAAACCCAAGAAAGCCCGATTTGAAAGTCAAAAGGATAAATTGCATAAAATCCCAAGGAAATAAGGGTTTGAACTTGGAAGGATCTACTATAAAAATAAACCATACAATGGGGGCCACATGCATAAAAAAAGGCTACCAAGAAGTAGAAAATCCGGACAATGCAACTATGAAGATATGAAAAAATCAAGAAAGGACCTGAACAAATCAGCACAAATCTACAAAACAATTAATTTCAACAAAAATATTTTTTAATGAGGAAACTACGCTAGGAATCATGAAGGAAAAACCTGCGCTGCACTTTTTTTTCCTTAAGCTAGATTTTTTATCCCACATGGTTTTTTCTAGTTAAGGTTTTTAACAAGGTAGTCACGGTTGAAAAAGCTGGAACTTGCACAGAATTCAAAACCAAGATCAACAGAACAATAACAAAGAGAGACCCGTTGAAGTTTTCTCTGTCCTCAAAAATCAGGACACGTGGAGACATTCTAGAGATAGTCTTATCAAAGTTGGCTAGGATAAATCCCACTAGAATAAGAACACCCCAAACACCAATTCAATAAAATTGTATTCCTAGAATAATTGTATTTAAGCATCCTATAAATACCTCTAGGATCAACCTAAAAAGGTAGATTAGTTATCATTATCATTCTCTCTTCATTGTAAACTCTCTCCATCAACAAAGATCTTGGTTCCACACCATCTATTCTATTTTTTATTGTTAACACTTGTCAATTATATAACTGTGAGGATCATACTATAAAAGTTTGCCCAAATCGTTACCGATCAAAAATTGTGTCAAACCTATCCAAAACACCTACTGAGTCCTTTGAAATTATTACAAAGATTTTAGGTAATGGTCGTTGGCATCTTACATTTACAAAAAAGTCTTGGGATGAGGCATGTGAAAAATTATGTTCTATTCAAGAATCGGAGTATCTTTACCTTACTTACCTATATTTAACAATATATTTTCTAATTTCCCTTATCCATGTATGAGATTAGGACATAGTGCTTTAATTAGTATTCTATGTTAATTATGATATTAGGTTATCTTTTATATTTATGTGTTTCAATTACATGTTTTAATATATATTTATAACAAAGAGCTAATTAACTTGTAGAAATTTTATATTATATTACTTATAAACTTTAGATAAAAAAGTTTGAAACAAATTAAGTAAAAAAGAAGAGGAAACATCAAAAAGCAGGAACTAGAGCTATAAGTAGAAGACTTAACTACCTATTTCGGCCAAAACACTTGACAAAAAAAAGGCAACCCAATATCCCATTCTTGGAGAAAAAAATTGATCTTTAATTTGGTCAATATACTTGATTGAATTGGCACACCTATTAGTTTGGTCAAAATATTTGACTGAACAAAGGCAACCCAATATCCCATTCATGGAGAAAAAAATGAATTTTAATTCAGTCAAAATGCTTAGTTCAGTTAAGCACAATGACCAAAATAAGCTTAAAAATTACATCTTATATCAAGTGTTTGTACGCAAATTAACATGCAAATGAGGTTTAGTTTTGTATTTATTTGGATGAAATATGTTATGTTGGTAGAAGGACTAATGTATTGATATGTAGGTTTATAAATCTTTTTTATGAGGTGTTTCGTACTTAGATAAGTAGATTTTTCTATGAGGTTTTTTATAAACCATATGGTTGGATTTTGTTTAAGTTTTAAGTCAGTAACTTAACACTTATGTCGGCTGATATAAAATTTTCAAAAATTTTGAATGTCCGCCGAATCTTCCCACCATTTTGACTGAATTGTTGTCTATGTCAGCAATGTTGATGCAAGTCATATTGGCTGACGCAAATGTTTCAATATATATGTCACACCCATAGTAGTTCTCCTGTCATTACACTATTTCTCTTCTTCTTCTTCTTCAGATTCATTTGTCTCTTCTTCCTATTCTCTTCTTATTTTCTTAGTTTCTTACTCTTCTTATTTTTTATAAACTAAATTCATTCTCATGGAATTTTTGTCACTATCCAATGGTATATTCTCTACCCTATAAATTCTTCTATTTTATTATAATTTTTAAATATTTTGTATAATTCTACTAATTTTGGGTTTTAATTTGTACTTAAACTAATTTTTTCATTTTAGTTGTTGGTTTATATATTGGAAGAATCTCTTATATAAGATAAATGACTTTGTGTCATTTTTTTCATTTTTTTGCTATTAATTTGTATTATATTATATGATGGTTAATTTGAAATATTATTTTTATTTTTATTTTTTGTGTTTTTGTAGGGGAGATGCCTCAACACAATATATGGTATGTGATTATATTTTGATTTTCTTGGATTTTTTTTTGTGTGGTTTAAAGATGTTTTTCATTTTTTTCTTAATTTTCTAATTACCTTATTTATTTATTTTTTTTGTAGGTAGAAGAATGGAAATACCACTTTAACTCTGTTTTCTTCTTTTTCATTTGTAAATCTTTCTTTCTTTTTTCTTTTTTTTATGGGTGTAAATTTTGTATAGATATATTGATTTGTGTAATTGGTCATTAATTTTTATATAAAATTATCAATATTATTAATATATATTAATTTTTAATTAAAATTTTAATTTTTATTATTGAGTTTCAATTACTATATTATTATTGAGTATCAATAATAATGATAACAATAATATATCAATTACTATTATTATGATTATTATATTAAAACTTAATAGTAAATTTTTTTTTTAATCTGACAAGGGTATTAGCGTCAGCCATTTAGTTGACTCTCGTTCGAATGTAAAACTAGTAATACCGAAGCTTTGGGTTCAACCGGTAATATATACTTGCGTGAGCACATGCGTTTGCTTCAATTGATGCAATTGTTTTGGATATCTGCATCAGCCTTTTTTGTGTTGACGCAAATTTATTTGCGATGCGTTTTTCAATGTCAGAATTAGCGTCCACATAACTAACGCATTTGTTTTTCTATCTGCGTCAATTTTCTTTATATCTGTGTCCATATTTTTTTAGGCAAATGTGGTTACATTCTGGTAGTGAGAGACACACCCATTAACAAAGATGCAAGTGAAGCTTAAGCTGCAACCTGCAAGTTATTGGGGTGGCAATTGGCAATTTGGTATATCCATCATTTGAAAATATTGTATATTACTATTGAAGAGATTGCTTTAGTTGAGGAGGTTTGCTCCATTCTTTGTTGATGTTGGACAAATTGAAATCAACTTTTATTATTATCATTTCAAGTTGCATAATAAGAAGAAATTCTTTTTTATTTTTTAACTTACTTCACTCACATATTATATATTCAAATTTAAGATATCTTATTTCTATTATAAATATATTACTATTGAACTACTTAAATTATTGACATAATTCAATTTTTAAAAATAAGATATTTTAATTATTTTTAATAATAATTTATTGAAATAACATAATTTTGTGATTATTTTTCTCTTAATTTTTAAGAGGTTATGCAAATGAACAATTTTTCTAATATATAATATATGTATTGTGTACCTCAATCACAAAAGGAAAAATACTTTTCTATCAAAAATGATCTAGTTTTTTATTGAATGATGAATAATCCCATCTTAAGTCAATTAAAACGACAAAAATCTAAGTAACTTAATGATAATTTATTTTTAGTAGAAGTAAGAGATCTTGACTTGAATCACATGACATATGAGTGAAGTAGATCAAGAGATGAGAGATGGTGTCAACCATTGCATAATTCAAGACTAAAAAAAAAAAGAAGTAAAAGATGTTTATTGCTAATTCAATATAAGCAAATGGATTCAAAATGTTACTTAATTGCAAGTAAAGAAAAGTAATATAAAATTAATGTATGTCTAGTAAGTGCAACTTTATTGACTAACAAGTTAGGTTTTATCCCGCCACAAAAAAGTAAGGTTTTCTTCCACTTGCTATATATTATACTCTATATACCAAGAAATGAAAAATATATATCTAATCTTAACAGAATAATCAAATTTTAAAAAGCGATTTTTTTTCCCCAAAATGAAATGGAAGAATACAGCAGAGTGCATCAAGATAAGTGAATATTTTTCTAGTAAAGAGAATTCTAGTGAGTCATAGTGACTGGGGATGACACTTGACAGGCAGATTGGCAATTTGGCAGAGTCATGAAGCGCACACACTAACTTGCTTTAGTTTGGGTAGATTATGATTATCTTATAAATGACATGGAACCAACCAGACCAGACAACTTATTTTCAGTTGCCTCAGGGTTGACTTTACTCACTCAAATCCCAATGTTTAGCTGTCACAGTGGAGTGGTATACTTTGCAAAGACGAGGTCCTTCTGTTTTTGGCCATCAAAGAAGAGCTCCTTTAATTGCCTGTCTTTATGCCAATGGTTTATAATTCACTTAATCAAATTAAGAATTATAAACAAATTATTAATTCACAGAGATTTTACACGCACAAAATCTTCTAAAAATTCACATGTGATGCCTCAATTCTGTCTTCTAAAGAAGTGATGGCCTCTCCTCCCACTAGTTTCCGTTTTTCTTATAAAAACTTAAATACGCTATTGACAAATCAATTGGTCTTATATACAGGGAGTTTGTATAATTAGACTAAAATTATAAATAACTTGCGTGGGACACTTTTTGGGATCTTAATCTCTTTGCAAATTGAATTTAATTTAATTTAGGATTGTAATAAAAAACCCATTAGTAGATAAAAATTTTATCCAAAAAATTACAAATAAAATTGTGAGATCCCTCGAACCACAATATTTACATAATAGTCCTCCATCAACTAAAATTCCATACAAAGTCTAATCGAATTAGAATTCTTATAAAACAGTTATCTAAAATTTATACGTGTGTCTTTTAAATATATTTAGACAATAAAAACAATTTAGAAAATAAAATTTTGATAGAATTTAATTTTCTAAAACTAAGTTAAAATGTTTATTTAAATTGACTGGCCATATTTTTGTCTAATATAAAAGATATACAAACTTAAATATTCTCTCTTATGATAAGAGTGGTGGTTCCCTATTAGATGACTATAAATCTTCATGTACTTATTATATAGTCTAATATATCCATATATATCCCATTTATTGGGCATCACCGGTTGACAATATCAAAACTAAATAACTTGTACATAAGATTAAATAATATCTTCATGTCTAAGAAGCTTTTATGAATTGTGAATAGAATAATCTTTTATTTAACAATAATTCACTTAAGATTATTCTATATGATCCAGTTCAATATTTGTCTTATACAAATACTCATTATGTTATTAAGAGTCTCACTCTAGTGGTTAAAATTTATTATTCTATCGCTTATAGTAGTACAACATGTGACAACCAAATTAAGCATATTGTCCAAAGTATGCTTATGCTTATGAACAATTTTAAGATCATCAAATCTTTTCATTTGATCATCCTCATAATCAATATGATTAATCTATGATCTAAGAATAATAACATTTATTAAATTACAAATAATAATGATGGCTTTACAGGGCATACAATTCTTTCAGATACATGATAAGAATTATCTTACCCTAAATTTATGAGGATTCATTAATGCAACAACTTTAGGATTAATTAAGTCAGAAGAAACCTTTGTATTGTTTTTTTCAGTTTCAATGATTATGATGTTTTCAAGTTAGTTTATGTCTATCTTGAGATTAATTTTTTTATGTGATTGCAAAAGAGAAAACTTTTATATGCTTTGCTAATTGAAATTTGTATTACCTTTTAGATTTTTGTATCTAACCATAGGATGATGGACAATTTTAAAATAAGGTCACAGCACATTGATGCATATGCATGTAGGCACATATAGATATATTTTGATAGTGTTTATGATACATATATAATTAGATAATTAATTAATTTAATTAAGTAAAGAAGCCCAACTTCAAATAATCTTCTTAATAAGTACATAATCAGCATCAGAAGTATATAAAGTCAAATAATTTTATATTGTCTGGGAAAGATAGCTATCTGTGTCTTTGAAATTTTAGCACCTTATTTTATTTATGATCTGGGGACTTGAAGTTTACAATTCATCCATCAAATTAATTTGAAGGCAAGTGGGGATGATGTGTGCATGTGCTTTAAATTCAGGAAATTAGAGCAAAATTAATAAATAATAAAGTTAATTTGTGCAAAACAACCTCAAAAAGGATGGAAGACAGAGTAATGTATTCCAACCACATTGAAGTATATAATGAGTGACATGTTTTCATCTCATATAAAAATAATAAATAAAATAACACTCCACATATCATGGTATAATGGTTGTGTTTAGGGCCACATAGATGTGCACTTGTGCCATATAGATGGCTACATGACAAGTATTATATGGAAGGAACATCTCATTTTAATCTTTATTTTTAATACTTCATAATTTAGACCTCAAGGTACTTTTCATTTATTCTCTCAACTATTCAACCTCATAAAAAATAAAAAAAAAAGTCCCTTTTGTTTTTTTTTTGTTTTTGTTACTAGAAAGAGTAGTTTAATCATGTGGGAAACGGGGTGGAGAGCGTAGCATAGATTAAAACACTTGATATAAGTGTGTGTAAAATTTTTATATTAATGATAAAATTATTTTAAATAAATCAATACAAATATTTTAGACATGATAATTCAAGTTAAAACTTTCTAATTCAAACTTTCAAATAAAGGCAAAGGATTCATAAGCTCAAAAATCTATATAAATAAACTAGGAAGATTAAGTTTTGAAGAGTAAACCCAAACCAGACAACATCCAACATCTAATAGTTCACAAATTAGGACTAACTAACCAACAACATGTTCTCAATTCCCCTTAACTAGACTTTTGAGTTTGAGTTTTGTGAATAAAAAAATAGACGTTAAGAAAACTTCCCTTCTAGAGTCTAACTTGACTTAGCTGTGTCCATCTCCGTTTCTGCAAATCGAGGGGTTGGGTTAGTACAAAAAAAAAATTATGGCTAACTAAGCAAACTAAGAACATCAATCAACGTATATACTCTAGTCTTATATATCTTCCAAACTGTTTTACTTCAAAGGAAATTAAATTAAGAGAAGAGACTTAAGCAATTAAAGGAACATGATAAGAACATCCTATTTTGAGTTTGGATTGATAACATATCTCAATTAGCCTTCCGGGGAGGAGTAAATAGGCAAAAGGTGCAAATCACCCCCTAAACTCACCAACTGGTGGCAAATCACCCCCTCAACCCCAATTGGTGGCAAATCAACCCCTCAACTCACCAACTGGTGGCAAAGCAGCCCCTCTCTTAACCTTTCCGTTAACATTTAACGGTTTGCTCATCAGGGGTTGTTTGCAACCGGGAACAAGATCTTGGAGAAGCTTCATTCTTTCGCTGATTTTCTCTCTTTGAACCTGTCCA